TGTTGACCGTTTTTATCACGAAAGGGTGTTGGATTTTGTCAACTGCTTTTTTGTTTCTACTGAGATGATTACGTGGTTTTGCCCTTCATTTTATTAATATATTGTATTATATTAGCTGATTTTCATATAGTAAACCCACATTGCATGTCTGGAATAAATTCCAATTGATCATGGTATATAATCCTTTTCATGTTTTTAGATATGTTGGCTAGTATTTTGTTGAGGATTTTTACATCTGTATTTATAACAGATACTAGTTTGTATTTTTCTTTCTTGTGATGTTTTTGTTTGATTTTGGTATCAGGGTAATAATCGCCTTACAGAACAAGGAATGTTCACTAAAAATGTTTCTTCCTCTATTTTCTGAAAAGCATTTGTTACAAACAAAAATGCATTTATGCTTTCATATTTACCTATATATTTGCAGTACTCTATTCACATTATTCTTTATGTAGATTCTACTTACTGTCTAGTGTCCTCTTATTTAAGCTTGCAGGACTCCTTTTAATGTAGGGCAATTATGCTAATGACAAATTCTTTTGGCTTTTGTTTACCTCAGTATGTCTTAAATTCTCCTTCATTCTTACAGAATAATTTTGCTGTACAAAGAATAACTGGTTGGCAGTCTTTTTCTATTTTATGTCATCCCTCTGCTTTTTGGTGTCCATGGTTTCTGATGTGAAATCAGCTGTTAATTTTACTGAGGATTCCTTATATGTAATGAATTGCTTCTCTCTTGGTGCTTTCAAGACTTTCTGTCTGTATTTATTGGGAGGTTTATTATGATGTGTCAAGATATAAATTTCTATAAGTTTATTCTACTTAGAATTCATTGAGTTCCATCCTTATATAGGTTAATGTTTTTCATCAAATTTGGGAAGTCTTCTGCCATTAGTTCTTCAAATATCCATTTTCCCCCTTTTTTCTCTCTCTCCTTGCTTCCTGGGACTCTCATTATGCACATGGTAGCATGCATAACAGTGTTGCACAGATCTCAGACTCTGTCATTTTTATTCTCCCTGTTCTTTAGTCTGGATAATCTGAATTGAGCTATCTCCGAGTTTGCTGATACTTTCTTCTGCCAGCTCAAATCTGGTGCTGAGTCTCTCTAGTGATGTTTTCATTTGAGTTCTTGCATTTTTTAACTCCAGAATTTCTATTTGATTCTTTTTTATATGTTTAATTTCTTTATAGATTTCTATTTGATGAGACATAATTCCCACTTTCTCTTAGTTCTTTAGCAATGGTTTCCTTTAGTTCTTTGATCATATTTAAATAGCTGCTTTGAAGTCTTTGTCTAGTACGTCCAATAGCCAGTAATCCTTAGAGACAGCTGCTTTTTACTATTTTTCCCATGTATGAACCATACTTTCTTGCCACGTCTCATAATTTTGTTAAAGACTGGACATTTAAAATAATGTAATGTGACAACTCTAAAAATGAGATTCTCTCCCTCTGTCAGGGTTTGTTTCATTGCTGTTTGTGTAATTACTTTCCTGAATTAATTCTGTAAAATCTGTAGTCTTGGTCAGATGTGGCAGTGAAATCTCTCATTAGCTCAGTTGTCAGCTAATAATTGGTGAGAGATTTCCTTAGATGATTTGAACCACTATGTGTCCTAGCCTTTGCTTCCTTTGGGAAAGGGGGTCTATATGCATGCTGAAGCATACCTCCAACATGTAAGTAGGCAGTTTAAAACCCTATCTTAGTCTTTACTTTCTGCCAGCATAATGCGTCAAAGCTAAACAAGGATGAGGACTGAGAGCTTTCTTAGGTCTTTCCTATTGCTCCTGTAACAAACTCACCACAAGTTAGTTTACCACAAATGTAGTGGCTTAAACAACACAAATTTATTCCCTCACAGATCTGGAGGTCTAGTCTAAAATCAAAGTGTGAACCTGGAGGACATTATGCTAAGTGAAAAAAGCCAGACAAAGAGATTCAAATCCCATATAATCTCACTTAGACTGCAAGTGGAATCTAATTCAGAGTAGAACAATAGTTGCCAGAGGCTGGTGGGGAGGGCAAGGAAGGAAATAGCGAGTTGTTAGTCAAACAGTGCAAAGTTTCAGATAGACAGGTGCAATGTTTTGAGATCTACTACACAGTAGTTTGACTAAAGTCAATAAGAATGTATTGTATATTTCAAAATAACAGAGTAAATTTCAAATGGTTCACCACAAAAAATAAGTGAGGTGATAGATACGTTATTAGCCTGGTTTAATCATTCCACATTGTATACATATATCAAAACATCACATTGTACCCCATAAATGTATATAATTATGATTTGTACATTAAAAATAATATTAATTAAAGTGTTAGTAGCGCTGCATTCCTTGTAGAAGCTTCAGGGAAGAAACCACCCCCTTAACTTTATTCCAGCATCTATAGCCACCTTCATTCCTTAGCTAATGGCCCCTTCTCACATCACTCCAACCTCCTTCTTCCATCATCATATCTCCTACTTCCAACTCTGATCCTTCCCCCTCTGTCTTATAAGGGCCTTTGTGATTATTCCAGGTCTACTCAGATAATTAAGATATTGAATTTAATTTAATCACATCTGCAAACTATGTAAGGTTACACAGTAACAGGTGAAAATAGTTATTACTGAAGGGCTATTTCAGGCAGCCAAGGAACATAAAATTCAGGACATCAGAGAGAAGGTCCTTAAAACGAAACAGAAGACAGAGACTTATGCTAGTATCAAGCCAGCATCACACTAATGTGATGTGGTAGAGATACTTCAAAAATGTCATAATTCAACAACTAAAATGAACAAGAGAACAGCTGAGAACAAGGGGGAAATGACATTAGAGAGGAGGATAGAGATTTGTGGTCTTCGGTTTTGAAAGGCAATAGGTAATAAGGGTTAGGAACAAATAATACACAAATATTAAAAAGCATAGGTAGGGTACATTGTTACTTTTCATAATGAGTGAGGAATTTATGAGATTCCATGCTCCGAGGAATTGTAAAATAAACTACAACATAAAAGAGTTCTAAAACTTCAGAGATAATTACTCCAAAATAATTTAAAGAAACTGTGATGGACTGAACTGTGTTCCCTCAAAATTCCTATGTAGAAGGCCTGACCCCCAAAGTGGGTTAAATGAGGTCATTAAGGTGGGGACCTAATTTGATGGAACTGGTGTCCCTGCAAGAGATGTCAGAGATCTCTTTCTCTCCTCTTGTACACAGAGGAGAGACTATGTGAGGACACAGTGAGAAGGTGGCCGTCTACAAACCAGGAAGAGAGGCCTCACCAGAAACCAACCCTAAGGGCAACTTGTGAACTTCTACCTTCTAGAACTGTACGAAAATAAACTTTTGTTGTTCTTTAGCCACCAAATCTGTAGTGTTTTGTTCTAGAAGCCCTAGCTGAAAGTAACTTGAGATATTTTGGTGGACATCTCTAGCATCATGAGATTGCTATCAGGAAAATTATCTCATCTCAAGAAAATACCAGTTGGTTTCAGTGTTAAAGTCAGTAAGACTATTCGTTCATTTAATCATATGACAAATATTCAAGTTCAGTGTTAGCATGTAAAATTTGTGTGTATAGGTATGTTTGTGCAGTATGCTGGGGGGGGAGTATAAAGATGGATAACATGTAAACTCCTAAACATTATCACAATATTGCATGCAGTAACTAATTTTTTTTTAATAAAGCCCGAACACAACGTGAAGAATTCTACCTCATTATGCTGAGGTAGAAAGTATACAGCATGGTTCTCCATCTCAGCACTACTGACTTTTGGACCAGATGATTCTTTGTTGTGGAGGGCTATTCTCTGACCTCTACCCATTGGATGCTAGCAGCCTCTTTCAGGCATTTTATTAGTCCCCTAGAGGACATCTAGCAATGTTTTGGACACATAAAGCCAGCAACACGGGGTCACGCACTTTTTTAAGCATCGTAACTTAAAAATATTTTATGTATTATGTATTTTTATGTATTTTCTATTTTTTCCTGAGATACTTGGGCAGAGTTAGAATAATAAACATTATTACAAAGGATGTGTGAGAAAACTTGCTTTAGGTGGAATTTCCTGAAGGTCTACGAGTAAAGACATTTCTTAAAGGAGGAAAAAAATGGAACCTGTCCTCAGCTCACGACAGCCTTCCTTCAGGTTTATATTGATCCACAAATATTCAGTAAATGCCTACTATATTCCAGGCACTACACAACAGGCATAGTTCTTGGTGCTGTAAATACAATAAAGAATAAAACTTCCAATACTTTCTGCCCTCATGGAGCTTACATTCTCATGGGGGAGGGTAAGGGGTGTGAGGAGAAACAAACAATAGAAACAAAATATGTAATATAATATATGGTACTAAGTGCTATGGAGAAAAATAAAACCAGAAACAAGGACTGGGTGTGCCGCGTAAACGGATTTAGTTTAGAGTGATAATGTAAAGTCTCGCTGACCTGGTAACATCTGAACAAAGATACCTGGCTCTCACTACAGAGAAAGGGGTCCTAAGCCGATCTTTGGAAACACCTCTGCCTCGGACCATCCTATATTGTTTTTCTCCCTGTGTTCCCAGCGCTGGTACAGTAACAGAGCTGCCACCAATTGTTGAGCACCAAGTCCCTCTCCAACCAAGCACTGTGCCAGGGGCTCCCCAGACATAACGTTAGTCCAAAGCTCGGGAGGTGCATGTTACTCTTCCCAATTTTTAGAGAAGAAAGTGAGTCGCCGACAGCATATGTTCTTATCACGCGGCTAGGAAGAGGCAGAGCCGGGTTCCCACCCAGGTCTTCCTCGACTCCGAAACCACATGGAGGCGGCTCTGCAAAAGCTGTTAAACGCACAAGCCAACAAAGAGCAACGCCCGGCGCGTGCCAGGCCCCGAGCAGGGGAGGCGAACGCCGCGCCTCCCGCCTCCCGCCTCCCGTTGGCGCGACAGAGGGCACCTGTTCAGCCAGGGCCTGCAGCCCTCGGCCCCACGCCCGCCGCCAGAGCGGCTCTCAGCTCTCCCAGATTTACCTGTTGAGGCGCTGGCGTCGCTCCCACGCCGGTCCCGGTAGCTGCACCCGCCCCTGCTACAGCCCCGGCTACCGCGGTGGCCGCCGCCGCTACCACAACGGTCGTCAGGGCGGCCATGTTTACCCGCCGAGCAGCTGGGGCCCGCGGCCACCAGTTCCTGGAGGATTAGTGCCCGGCGCACCCCGGCCTCTGCAGACCGCTCCCAGCGCTGCCGGCTTGGCCGGGAAGCAGGGCGGGGCCGAGATGCAGGGCGGTGCCGGGATGCAGGGCGGGGCCGGGATGCGGGGGGTGCGGGGGTGTGAGACTGCGGGAGGGGCGGGACCGGGGTGCGGGGCGGGACTGGAGTGCAGGGCGGGACCGGGGTGCAGGGCGGGGCCGGGGTGCAGGGCGGGGCCGAGATGCGAGGCGGTAGCCGGGATTCAAGCCGGTAGGGGAGGGGTGAGGGAAAGACCCGGTGCTTGCAGGGAAGGGGCAGGGTTGGGATTCTGGGGCTGACGGCTGTGAGGGAGGGGGCGTGGGCGGGGGCTTCGTTTTGCCCTGTCGCGGGTTTGTAGAACCTTTGGGCACTTAATCCACTCTGTCAGCCCAGTCCCAAACGTGTAAGAAAATTCATTGTCTTACATTGTCCTTAAATTTTATTTGTGTTATAGCATATATATATATATATATATATATATATATATACCCAATATACATCCGCTTTCTAGGTTTCTACTTAGCGCTGCTGAGACCGAGTCTAAATGAAAAAAAAAAAAAAATTATCAATAGGTATTGTGCTAAATGCATTTCTGCTGAATTTTTACTTTGGCCATTCATTAAGCCAAGTCATCATTAACACCTGCATAATTAAAGAAAAGCACAAACTCAAAAACAGCAAGAACTATCCCATAGCAGTGTCGTGCTGATACCTTAAAATAGTTTTTTGTTTGTTTGTTTTTAAGGTATCCTTTCCTACTCTTTTCCTACCTCTCTACCCCAGGCCTCCTTACACACATTTTTTTATCTGTGAGCAGCTCACTGAGGTCATTCTTTATACTGTACTCCTAGTTATACTTTCTTTCTTTCTTTCTTTCTTTTTTTCCTGAGATGGAGTCTCCCTCGGAGCCTCTCTCCGTCGCCCAGGGTGGAGTGCGGTGGTGTGTTCTGGGCTCGCTGCAACTTCTGATTCCCTGGTTCAAGTGATTCTCCTGCCTCAGCCTCCCGAGGAACTGGGATTACAGGCACTCCCCACCACACTCAGTTGCTTTTTTGTATTTTTGGAGGAGTCAGGGTTTCACCGTGTTGGCCAGGATGATCTCAATCTCCTGACCTCATGATCTGCCAGCCTCTGCCTTCCAAAGTGCTGGGATTACAGGCGTGAAACACCACGCCTGGCCAACTAGTTTTACTTTCAAAGTTAAGCTTAACTTTTTTGTTGTGCTTAGCCTAATGGTATCAGCATTGTGTGTCTTTTTCAAATGAACCTGAGAATGATGATGCCTTCCTTCTATAAAGGCACTCTTGCTATTGAATGTACTTTGAGGTTTGATGCAGAAACCACTTTTATGACCATAATTGTTATTAGCCTATTCATTAAAGGATCAGTGATCCATAAGCTTCACATTTGTCCAGAAACAGTCAATAGTTAAACATTTTAAGAAATCGAAAGAACCAAACAAAACTAATAGACTGGAGAGTTTAGAAGCATGCTGTGAACCAATGTTTTAGAAGTAATTCACTGTGTAAAATTAGTTTAACTATAAAATTAAAAGGTGATATTTTCACTTAACAGTAAAACTCCCAATCAAATGCCATGAAAAGATGTATCTTATACTGGTGCTTGATATACACTTTAGGTATTTTTTGATCCTTTATTCATCAACTTAGATATTAACAAAATTCAATTTCCTATAAGAGTAATTCTTCAAATTTTTAAAACTAGTTTTAAACAGAAGTGTAGAAAGACAGCCACAGTTCTAAGTATTTGTTTTGCTGTGATAGATAAGTGAATAAAATAGATTCTAAAGACTGGAAAATTCTGCAGTAGACTAGCAATGCCTAGTAGCTCTCAATGAAGCAAATTCAGTAAGTTGATCTGATCATGCCCAATTCCCCTCTTACCTACTAACACTTTTCAATGTATAAGTAATACAGTTATAATGATATTCTTGCTCAACTTCTGAGAAGGCACAGGCGACAAAATTTGTATGACTTGCAGCAGCCAAGAAGCAGAGTTCGCATATTATGAGGTTAGCCTGAATTTCCTCACTGCTGTGATATAGTGGATAGTACCAACTCCAAGAATTCATAGAACATGGATGGATACATGGGGAACCAAACCAAGAGTGAATAAGTTAAATGATTAGTTCATTCAAGGAGCACTCATCAATTGCCTACCAGGCATGTGTCAGTTAAATACAGCTCAGGGAGCACTAGCTTGTTTCTTTAAAAGTTCAACTCAGGAAACATTTATCTGATTGGAGAATAAGGATCTTCCCTGTATGAAGGACTGACTCTGGGTTAAAAGTTAATAATAAATCAGCAAATTTTATTACCAAACAAAATTATCAATAGGTTCTAACAATAAATCTTATTTTACATTTTTAAATAAAACCCAGCATGCTCCACAGAACCAGAGGCAGGAACACCACAGTTGCATTCCTAGGACTTGGTCAATGAGAGGACAGATTCCAAAAATATAGTGCTGGGGAAAAAAAAGCCATAGATGACTCCTTCAGTCAAGGCAACCTGTGACAATTGAGTTGATTTCTGTAGGTACTACTTTTTCCCCCTTTACAGGAATCAGTTCATTCATTCAGTCAGTACGGAGCTCTTACCATATGTCAGGCAGTGTTCTAGGCCTCAGGAATTAATTGATGAATTAGACATACAGGTGAGGTTCCTTCTATTACTTCTAGTAGGGAGTTTAAACAAGTAAACAAATAGGTATTTATTGAGCAATTCCTTTGTACCAGTGCTGTTATAAGCACTTTATGTGCACTTTTGAATTTAATTCTCACAAATAAGTTAGTGAAGTAGGTACTATTATCATCTCCATTTCAGTGATAAAGTTAAGGATCATAAGGCCACACAGAGGGTAGGTTACCTATCTAGGCAGGCTGACTCCAGAGACCATCCTGGTGGAGACATTAAACAAGCAGCTGGATAAATGCCTCTGGAGCCCAGGAGAGAGTGAGCTAAAGATATGAATTTGGCCTTCATATAGAAAATATTTGAAATAAGACTGAATGAGCTCACCCAGGGAGAGTATAAATTGAAGTCTGAGAACTAAGCCTAGGGCCCTCAAGATGGTGACCACAGACAAGAGAAGAAGAGGACCGAGATGGAGAGATCTGTGAGAAGGGAGGAAAACCAGAAGTCTGTGGAGGGATGAAGATTTTCAAGAAGAAGAGAATGGTCAGCTGTGTGGTTCACTGCCCAGAGGCTGCCCAGAAGGGAGAAATGATGTTTGCATTTGGCAACAGGGAGGCCATGGGCCACCCTGGCAAGAGCAATGCTGATGGAGTGGGGAGACCAAAGCCTGGTTGACTGCATTGAGGAGATAATGGAGGTAATGAGGTAAAAACAGTATCTTTTCACCATGATTTTGATTGATTTTGTGGTGCAGGTGATCAGAGAAATGAAATGGTAGCTCGAGGAAGATGTGTGATCAAAGAGAATATTTGTGGTTGTGTTTCAAGGTGGGGACTAGTAGAAGGAGTTTTTCATGCTGCTAGGAATGATCTAGTGGAGACAGAAGACAGAAATTTTTTATTTATTTTATTGTACTTTAGGATTACTGGGTCAAATGGAATTTCTATTTCTAGATCCTTGAGGAATCACCACACTGTCTTCCACAATGGTTGAACTAATTTACACTCCCACCAACAGTGTAAAAGTGTTCCTATTTCTCCACATCCTCTCCAGCATCTGTTGTCTCCAGATTTTTTAATGATTGCCATGCTAATTGGGGTGAGATGGTATCTCAATGTGGTTTTGATTTGCATTTCTCTAATGACCAGTGATAATGAGCATTTTTTCATGTTTGTTGGCCTCATATATGTCTTCTTTTGAAAAGTGTCTGTTCATGTCCTTCACCCACTTTTGACTGGGTTTGTTTGTTTTTCTTGTAAATCTGTTTCAGTTCTTTGTAGATTCTGGATATTAGCCCTTTGTCAGATGGGTAGAGTGCAAAATTTTTTCCCATTCTGTTGGTTGCCAGTTCACTCTAATTATCATTTCTTTTGATGTACAGAAGCTCTGGAGTTTAATTAAATCCCATTTGTCTATTTGGGCTTTTGTTGCCAATGCTTTTGGTGTTTTAGTCATGAAGTCCTTGCCTATGCCTATGTCCCGAATGGTGTTGCCTAGGTTTTCTTCTAGGGTTTTTATAGCGTTAGGTCTTATGTTTAAGTCTTTAATCCATCTGGAGTTAATTTTGGTGTAAGGTGTCAGGAAGGGGTCCAGTTTCTGTTTTCCGCATATGGCTAGCCAGTTTTCCCAACAGCATTTATTAAACAGGGAATCCTTTCCCCCTTGCTTTTGTCAGGTTTGTCAAAGATCAGATGGTTATAGGTGTGTGGGGTTGCCTCCGAGGCCTCTGTTCCGTTCCATTGGTCTATAGCTCTGTTTTGGTACCAGTACCATGCTGTCTTGATTACCATGGCCTTGTAGTATAGTTTGAAGATGGAAGTTTGATGCTGAAGGAGATAGGTAGTCAAACCCTCTTGAAAGTAAGACTGATGGAGTGCAGGGCACAGGTGGGAGGTCTTTGATAGAAGCACAGACTCTTCTGACACAGGGAGGTAATGGGTGGGGAGTGTGGGGAGGTCAAAGAGTCCTGCACACATGGGTTGCAGCACGAGGTGGTTGGGAGATTTGGAGGGAGGAGACAGCTGCCTTCACCTCTGCACCCTTTTGTGAAGTAGGAGGAGGTAAGATGCTTGGGTGTATTGAGAAGGTAAAACTTTCCTAATTTATGTATTTACCTTTTATCCAAATGAGCACTGTTACTATAGCACTGCCTGAATTCATGTAATTGTTAGTCCAGATTATCTTGCAGGCTTAGAAAAAAATAAGTCAACCAACAATCTGAGTTGAGTAGTCTTTTACAATTTTAATACTACCACTAAAAATAAAGTGTAGTCGAAGATCATTTTGCAATTCCTATTGTCCTTAGAGTATATCCTACATAGGATATCCAGAGTACAGTGTTCAAAAGTTTTCTGAAATCACCCTTTTCTTTATGTGCTATGGAATCAATTTGATATATATTTCAGTTCTTTTGATTACATTTGTGTGCAATTTGTTTCATTTTTTGTTGTGTATTCTTTCATTTTACCTTTTAAAGAATATG